GTGGCAAATCAACATCTGAATCCCCAGGTGGAAAAAGTTTGAGCAATTAAATTAAATTGCATTTATGCATGTTGCACGCCCCCACCGACACCCAGTGCCACAAAAACACAAAAACACACACACGCACCCACTCACCGACAGACAGAACACGTGTCGTATGAGCAATCCTTTTGTCTTTGCGTTGGCTTTGTTATTGTTGTTGCGCTGGCTGCTGTGCGTTTTTATTGAAATTAAATTGTTCGTGTTAAATTTCACCGCCACAAATTGTTGGCCTGCATGTGTCTGCGTGCTTGGGCGCGAAAGTGTGTGTGCATGTGAGTTCCTGCTGCCACGTTGCACGTTAGTCAATGTCATGTTGCGCCACACATTTCACACGGGGCAACAAAGAATCCCACAGCACAATAATGCCGTTTTTTTAAGACTGTTCGAGAATTGTTAATACGAAAAGATGAATTATTTCAAGGGATATAAATCGTTTAGTTTTTGTGGGACTGGCACAGAAATCTTCTACCTCTAAAAAATGAATAAAAACTTTTCTTATAAAAAATGTGTTTTCTTTTTTTAAATGCCTAGAAAAGCATACCCTTGGATAACTTATAAGGATACCTATTTACACCTATTTAAATCTCAAGGTTAATTAGATAAAGATTAATTTAAAAATATATTTCGACTTTAATATTTCTTTTTCAGTGTATGCCTGCTTTCGCCCAGTCTCATCCCTTCACTCTCTTTACCACTGCTATGTCAATTTGTGGTTTGTTGTTTCTGCGCCAAGCTGGGCTGCGAAATTGTTTGCCATACCATGCGGCGTATGAGCAACATTTGTGGGGCACTTGGCGAGGCAGTTGAACATACAAATATGCATATGCTGCAGGCACTTACAGGTGCTCGACAATTACCTTACAGGCCCGCGCGAGCAACAGTTGCATATCCCAGCTGTCTGAAATTCTGTGACTTGTCAAACACCTTAAAGAAACAAGGAGAGACCTCTTTTGCCCTCCTTTGTGAATCCTTAATGGCCAAATTCTGTCAGCTGACTTATTCGCCTTCACCGAGGTTTTGGTTGGCAGTCTGAGTGCTTAAGACAAACCCGCTGAAATTGGGTCAACCCAAACTAGTTCATTTTAATTTAAGCAGAGAAAACTAAATAGAGCCGGGCTTTCTTCTTAGAGATTACCAGTTAAGCCAAGAGAGAAAATGTTTGTTAAACTAAGATAACTTAAACCATTTATTAAACTTTTGCATTAATATGGATGTGCTGTTGAAGAAACTTTCGCTTCATTTAAACCATTTATTACTATTAGAAACTGCCTAGAAACTTTTTCAATTTAAAATAAGTTAAGCTGAACAAAAACTGTATTTGAGAATTTATTTTTAAGTTTTGGTAAACCGTTGTGTACCTTAACAAACTATCTTTGTTATATCAGGTTCAACTACTTGAATCAATGACAGCTATTAAAGATATTGAAGTTTATACACCAAAGAAACTTACTCGTTTTATTCCGTCTGTATTTGACTTAACCAACTGTAAATGCTGATGTTGATTTAGTTTAATTGGAATTTCCCCTATTCGGTTGTTCAAATATCGAGCGCAGCTTAAAGCGAAATTTAAATCGTGTTAGCTTGAGCATTCCAATATTATTCGTTGCGGTATTCTGTTTGAGTAAATGTTTGCTTAAATTGTGGCCAAAATGGTTTTTTCCTTTTTAGTCGAGCTGCAAGGGTTGGCTTCAAGGGTTTCGTTGCTGTCGCTGCCTTCCTTGTTAATGCTAATTGCATTTTGTCTGCCAACCTGCTCCGAGCAAATGGAATTACGGAAAATAGTTGCCGAAGACAAGAGACAGCCAGCTGGCAAGGCCAACCCGCAAAACCGCATTGAAACCACAGAATTGTTGCCTAATTCAATACGGCACAATTTGCTGCTCATTTCTGACTAGTAATTTTTTTTTAATTTTGCATCTAGCCGTGGGGAAAGATCAATAGAGGTCAGGCGATTTATTAGCCTGCCGCAATTTGCATTGAATATGCAATGATTTGCTCATGATTTATGGCCAGTATATCCTGCATAAGGTATCCACCGAGCTCATCAATTAGGCACGACAAGTGCGTATGTAAAATGTGAATCAAAATGTCAATGCCGATTTATTGTTCAAAAATCGGTCAGCTGGGGTATTTGCAAGGTTTGCTTGCTTAATGCGGCCCAAAGGCTTGAAAGCATTTAATATACGACTCCGCGACATACCATATATTGATGATTAAGGAGTTCGTACGCCGTTGTTCCTGCGAAAAAGAAGTTTGGCCAATACGCGAAAGCCATATACTGATTTAGATGTATTATTTATACCGCCAACACAGCAGCGTGTTACCAAGTACATGCGTCATATACATTTCTATATATGTATTTTCCGCCAGCCTGGGCCAACATCTGCCGTATTCTCATACAGAGCCGGGCCGAAAAAATAATATTGAGGCAGTGCTCGGTCAGGCGCAGAAACACACACACAATCGCCCGAATATGCGCATATAAATATTACGTTTTTTGTTGGGTGCACAGGAAGCCTATGCACAGATTTGCGAAAGAAAGTTTCAAATGAGTTTCCATTGAAACGCCCTAATGCCAAATTAAGGCAAAAATCCAGCATCGGGTTTATATGGCAGAAAATGAGACGTCAGACATGTCACATGCACACACATCAGGCACACATCACGCACACACACACACACACACACTCAGTGAAAAGGAAAAATTCAACAGGACCAACAAAAAATGGCTAACGGAAAGAACAGAGAGCAGCTTATAATGAACGAGCCAAAAGCTTAGGCATCATCGCTAAGAGTTTCAAGTTTTTTGTCATATTGCCCAAACGACATGTTGGCTTCCAATCACTTTCTAGATATTTCCAAGAGATTGATGTTCGCAAGCCGAGGCAAAAAACCAATGAAACTGAAAAGGCTCAAGCCCAAGAATTTGTTAAATTGCTTCTCACAGATTCGGCGATTGTTCGAATAATCTTCACTCTAGCATCTGGCGCTAAAAGTTTTAATGATGTGTCAGCATCAGATAACGATATTTTGTGACAAAGTTTGGATGGGTTGGTCAGCTTTGATGAACTGCCGCCCTCTTAACTCGCTTAAGTTGGCCCAATAACCGAATTAAAAATGCGTGAAATGCCTCCCACAAAGGGAAAAATAAATTTACCATTTCCTGGAGCCATTATTTGATTTTATCCCTCTAATTCCTTTTAAGCTGCATTTTTTTCGTACTTATATACTTTATCTTTGAATGGCCAGGGGACAAAATTGAGGCCGAAATCGAGGATAAATTGGTCGAATGGGAATCGATGGGTAAATATGTTTCTTTGGCCTCATTCTTTTCTCTGGCTCTCTACCTCTTATTTTGTGTTTCCCTCTCTTGTATAAACACCTTAATCAAATTTCACTTCAAAGACTAACAATTTCTGCTGTTTGTGCTGCTTACAAAACTCTGTTTATATATGCCTCGTATATAAATGTACGCACACATGGCTTTGTTTATAGTTTCGGGCTGTTGTCTGACAATTAATTGTGCATTCATTTTAATTAGGATCCATATCCCGGGCAAAGATAAATGGCTAATTGCGTGGAAGGGTTAACGTGCCAGGCAAGGAATTTTTCAATTAGCAAATGACTCTGGCATCGATTCTCGTCACTTTGCGACATCTAAATGAACTTAGCAGGCTTGCCCAGTTTATGATTTATCCTTATCTGCGGCATACTTCGGGGCGCCCCTCACGCACACACACAGCCACTCGTACTACACTAACGAGACTAGCTGGGCAGCGGCAACAGCTTCAACTTGTTGACGTTGGCTCCCAGCACCACGGCAAGTGGTGGGCGTAAAGGACGAAAAAATAAAATCTCCAGGCATGGGGAGCCAGCAAATTGTTGAATGTACATGTTCATTCGAGCCTGTGTGGGCGAATTTATATTACAGTACAGCATCCCTAATGGAAGCCAATTTCTGTTTCCGAAAATATAGTTTTTGAATTACAGATTATAAGATTTTTAGATACTCTTGACCTTGAGGCATTTATCTTTTGAAACTAACAAGTGAAAAGCTATCAGCAAAGCAGTTTCTTCCGATAAAAGTATAATTTTTAGCAAAATATGTAATTTTCAAAACCAATTTTTGTTGTTAAACAATTTTTTATATGCTCATACACTACTTCAGAAGATTTAGTGTACCAACATTTCGTAAATAAGTAAAATTCTAAAAAGTAATTTAAAGTTTTTATTTTATTATCTAGATGAACCGAACTTAGAACCAGAATAAGTCAAATTTGTAGGCATACTTTAATATAACCCTAATTTGTTATACGACCGTTAGGAGTTCGAGTTGCAAAAGTTATCCTGTATTTTTTTTCTCATTCGCTCTACATACAAGCACCAACACAGGCACGCGGGCCACACGAACGTGGAGATTCGAGTGTTGGACTAACTGTTTTGCGGCATGCCAGGCCCCAAAAGAGAGAAAGGGACGCAGAAAGGGGAGCGGGGCGAGAGGCAGAAGGGGCGCAGTGAAGAGTGAGATGTAGGGATCGAAACGAGAGGAGAGGAAACGAGAAAGAAAGAAAGAATTCCGGAACGAAACAGGCCTGGTCCTGCTGAAACGTTAAAGAGCAAATAAATGTCTCGCAGCAAACAAACGAAAAAGTTAAGGCTGTCCAAAAGAAAAAGAGGCGGAAGAGGGAGACGGAAGAAAGTGGAGAAAGAAGAGAGCGAAAAGGAGCCGCAGAACTCCACACGCACACAAGGATGCTGCTCGAAACACGCTTGCTTATTACCGTTACATTCAGGGACTACTCCAAGGAAAGAAAGCGAACGAGAAAGAGACGGGAAGGGGCTCCTTTTTACAGCTCTTGCCAAATTTTATGTTGTTAATTTCGGTTTTATCCTAAATTTGATTGTTTTTATTTAATTTCTGCCTGTTTTCTTTTCTTCTTTTTTTGATGGCCCCTCACCTTGCTGTTGTTTTATTTAACACTTTTGCATTATTTTTTTCTGTTTCTGTGTGGCTATTTATGTATAACTTTGTTATTTTTTTTTTGTCGAACCCACGTTGTTATTTTTTTATTTATTTTTTAGCTCGGCAGGCTGTTGAATCTTTTATGAGCTCACCAACACAAACACACACTCACACCAACGCGGTTGTCTTTTTTTCACGATGGATATTTCTCTTATTTCTGTAGTAGCGCCCGGAAAATCCTCCGCTGACCGACCGCCGTGTGGAAATCTCGCCCAACACTGAATTACCCTTGGCATCGGTTCTGCTCTCTGCCTGCGTCGCGGCCGACGTCGACGCCGCTGCCAAAGCTAACAGCGGTATGTTAAGCTAACACTATAGGTCAGTGCTAATAACAGAGACACCTGCAACTCAGTTGGCCAATCTGGCTAGCCTTATAGTCTGTTATTTATACGCTGTTGCATATTTGAAGCATCTGTTTTCTATCACAACTTTGTTGTTACTCTACGCATGTGTGTGGGTGGGTATGGGTGGCTAGGCTGAGTGTGTGGATGGCTGGGCGTACAATGTTTACGACGAATGCTGCTAAGTAGTCTGTAGTTTTTCTGCGTACACATTGAGAAAATATTAACAGAAAAGTGATTTTAATAGTACAATGAAATGAAAAACAATACAGAACTTAACTTCGAGGTCACATTTAGTAACACTTCTCATCAACCAACATGGCGGATACGTAATGTGTCAAAACATAATGTTTCTGGCTAATTATAGTAAGTTAAATGAGTTTTAATTTTAAAACTCCATTATTTTAAAAGTTTAGGGAGCCAATTTTATAAACTTGAATTTAATTCTATAAAGACTTATTGCAATTCCCTTTATTTTGATATTTTCTCCCTGTGTTTAGCGTGTTTTGTTTGTTGAGAGCACATTTTATGGTTCTGCTTCCGCTGCCCAAGCGGAAAACTCTTACTTTACGCTAAGGCTTTCGGTCTGTTATTATAGCCAACACTCTTCCTCAAGCACTTCTGGTCTCCTGATTTTATGCGTTTACTTTAAAGCTGGAACTATGGGGAAATTTGATATCACACACAGAAACAAACACATGTTGCCGAAAAAATGGGGCTCAAAAAAATGGAGGCCTACCAAAGATGGCCGCCCCGCGCAGCCTCCAAAAAGCTTTTGTTGTTGGTTGTGCAGTGAGTGCGTAAAAACATATATACACATAAGTTGGCTAATGGCGGGCCAAAAGTAACCTGGGAACACATTTACATTTTACCCAAACACTTTGGCATTTGCTGTTTTCTGTGGAGAGCACGCGCCATTTAATTTGGCATATTGCTTCGTTGGGGCCAAGAACTCAAGTCTAAGCTACATTTAATTTGTTGCCCGACTAGCACGTTATTAATTTACGCCGATTTTTAGCAATCTCACCGCAACAGCTGCGAACGCTTTGGGCCTCGAACTGCGACTGAAATCGAAAGTGAGTGGGCGGGGAATTTAACATTTAATTTTAACACCAACTGAAATGGAAAGAGCAACAGCAATGCGGTAGCAATTGGGACGAAAGCCTTGAGAGCCCGGCTAACAGAGCGCTAACAGCAGCTGGTTATAAAGTTGGCCAATAGGTCAGTTACACTGCAGTGGCCAGAACACAGGACCAGGCATTTGACGCAGCCTCTGGCCAAAATATCAGTTAAATATTAACACGTCCATTAGCAAACACTAAGATAAATTACAAGGATTAAGAATTTGAAGAATACAATACGATTTTCACTTTTCAAAAACTGTTCGGACCTAAAATTAACATCTGGGCAAAAATATATAATATTTAGAAAGGGGTATTAACAATATTATTATTCAAGTGTAAGTAAACGTAAAGCGGCTAAATCATAAACTATTTGTGCTATGCCCTTAAACTTAGAAATGGTAATTTTGTCATAAACCATGTTTTTTTTAGGTACTTCTCGCAATCAATGATAAGTCCCTTGGCACCAAAAACTAACATACCAAACGGCGAAAGTGAAAAAGCCAAACTCGCTGAAAACTTTTTTACTGAGTTTTGGCTGGCTTTTAGGCTTTCTGTTTAGTGTCCATAGCGTTATGACCACAGCTCATGTCATGTCTAACACTACCATCTTAATAGCTAAACTCTATCTTATAATCCTAATTTTAGTAAAACGATTTGATAAATTAAAAAAATATTTTTAAATGTGTTATGTTATGCCAATTTATTTAAATTTCTAAACTTGTTTAAGTAAAAAAACTTGTTATAAAAAAAGCACCTTTAAAGTCAAAAAAAAACATATTTTCTTTTGCATAAACAAAAAAGAATATTACTTGCGGTAATAAAAATATTTAATATTTTAATGAATAAACTTATAAAAACAACCTTTAAAATTTCAGGTATAAAATCCCAACTTTTTAATATGTAAGTTCATGTGTTAAAACTAACATCTTGTTTGACTCAACTAGAGCTGTGGCTCCTCATTGAGGACGACCGGTTCTCCGTCGAGTTTCCGAATGGTGGGCAGCCTCTTGATGCACTCCGCTCGCCAAGACGGTTCGTCCAATCCTTCGGATAGAGGATTCCCAACAACCACTAGATCCTCTAAGGACTCGATCTCGGCAAGGCGATTAAACTCCGACCAGTCCTTGATCAAATTATTGCTGATGTACAGCACCTTTAGGCATTTTAGTCCTGTCAAGCCTTTTATTTTCTCTATGAGATTGTAGCTGAGCCAAAGCTCCTCCAGTGTTTCGGCTACAGCCTCCTGGAAAAATATAAAAATTTAGAGCCCTGAACAAATTTTCCCAAGGGCATTTACCAATCCGGATATCTGTTTGATATAGTTCCTTGATAAAGACAATACTTTCAGACACTTCATACCCGCTAAGCCGAAAATCTTTTCAATCATGTTAGTTGACAAACTGATTCTCCTGAAGTAAAGACAAACAGAAGTGCGGTAACTTACTCAAAAGAACTTAGAACTTTGACAACTCACTCGCACTGCACCAGTGTTCCCAACGTGGCGTCCATTTTCTCGATGGGTGGCCACTGGAATTGCAGATCAATGTTTTTGGCATTCAGGGAGTTTTGCTGCTCCCGCTCCTCCCAGCGCTTCAGGGCCTCCTTAATTGTGGTTGCTTTGGACATGCTGCTGCATCGAAAAACTTTTAACCAATGGACAAGAAAATCGGTGCAAGCCAAACAAACTTCTTCGTTGCCAAGGTAAAACAAGAAAGGAAAAATATCAATAGGGGTAAACTTTGTTTTTGCTCAACACCACAATGAACATTCTTTTCGGATAGTTACGCTTTTATATGAACTATAGTAAAAGTGTGGGAATTATTTTGTGGTACAAGATTTAAACAATATCTAAAAACAACTGCAAAATGGAAAACAAAGAAAGGCGTGTAAAATAATAAATTTAAATTAAATCTATGCAATATTATAATTTTACAACTATTCATACAAATTTATTGACAACTTACATAATTTAAACTTCTCAAGTGAAATTCTCACTGCAATCTTTACTTTTTACGGATCATTACATTAAGAAATTTTCCGCTGATAAGGTCTTCTGCAGTTTTATCTTTTTAAATGTAATTTTTCAATCTGAATCTTGCATTATACCAATATCAGCGTTCTTTGTTAACGATAGCTTTAGCTCCTGAATGTTTTCCCCAAAGAAGAATGCACCGAAGTGTTTTGTAAAAATACAATCATGTATTTAAAAATGTTATATAGGATAAAGATAGATCGCTTAGTTTATACAGAGGAGCGGGCGAGCCCACCAGGTAGAATCACTTAACCAGCCAAGGCCACGCCACTTAACGACGATCCGTCTTGCCGTTTCCACGCTTGCCGGAATACAAATGCTTGGGCATCTTGGTGCCGATGAAGCGATCCGCCTCTCCCTTGAGACCCCTGCTTGTGACCTTCTTGGCAATGTCCCGCTTGGCCATGATCTGTGCCTTCTTGCGGATGGCCAGGTTTTTGATGCCCAGAGAGTCGCGCGACGGCGCCCGCTTCAGTGGCAGACCAGTCTTGCGAACCACGGCCGATGACTCCTTGTCGAGCAGCGGTTGCATAGGCACCTTCTTGGATCCAACGGCTACCTGGCCGCGACGCAGATCCACGACAGACTTGGTGAAATTGGCGTTCTCGCTGCCAGACATATCCACACCCAGGCCCTCCATTGTGGAGACCAGCTTCTGTACGGAACGGTCGCGCACCTTGGGCTGCTTGTTTCTGGGAATAACCGGCTTGTTCTTTCGCGACGACAGACGCTTCTCGTCGCGCAGCTCGAAACGCTTGCCTCGAATTTGCTTGGCCATCTCGCGGATCTCCTTGAGCGTCTCGTCCATTGACATATCGGGCACTGTGTAAATGCCGCTCTCCTCCCGCAGACCCTCCTCGCGCTCCAGCTCCTCCAGCTTCTCGAAAATGTCGGCATCGATGTAGTCGGCAATGTTGTGTCCCTGCCAGAACTCGGGAATAACATCGTAACGCTCGTCCTCGGGAATTTCGCTGTAGTTCTTCTTGAGGTCCAGCGTATAGTCGTCGCCCATCTCCTCCTCGATCTCCTTCTCCAGCTTGCGTTTGCGCTCCGCCTTCTCGGCATTCTGTTGGAGACGGGCCGAAGCCTTTTCTGGGATGCAGGGAGTGCGGAGTTTGTCATCTCGAGGCGCTGGCATGGCCACATGCAGGCGGTTCAAGATGTTGTCCACCTTCTTGGTGCGCATCTTCTGGTCTACACGGTACGATAGCAGACGCTCGCAAGCCTCGGTTTTCACCTCCATGACACCGGTTTCCTGAACGGTGGACATGAGCATCACGGGTATGTTTTTGTCCTCCTGCAGCTTGGTGATGATCTCTCTACGCTCCTCTGGCAAATCCTCGGGTGTAAGAATGTCGATCTTGTTGATGGCCAGGATCAGAGGCTTGTTGGTGAACAGAGGCTTGATGCTCTCGAACAGCTTGACCTGTTCCTCCAAGGAGTGACCGCACTGCTCTGAAATATCCATGAAGTACAGGACGCAGGCGCGCAAATGCGCCAAGGCAGTAATGGCCTGCATTTCGATAACATTGCGTTCCTCCAACGGATGATCCAGGATTCCGGGTGTGTCAATCACCTGCCAGCGGAGGTATTTGTAGTCTGTGTGGCCGACGTACAGGGATTTGGTGGTGAAGGCATAAGGTTGCACCTCCACATCGGCACGTGTGATCTTGTTGATAAACGAGGACTTGCCCACGTTGGGGAAGCCGCAGATGATGATGGTACGCGAATAGGGATCGATGGTGGGCAGACGCGAAAGATGCTGACGCACTTGCTCGAGGTAAGTGAGGTTGGAGGCCTGGCGCTTCATGATGGTGGCCATGCGACCCAGGGCCGCCTTCTTCAGCTGCTTGCAGCGGTACAGCGAATCTCCGTATTTCAGCAGGCGCACATAATCCTTGGCAACGCTATAAATATTAAATGAATAAAATAATTGTGGTCTACATGTTTGTCTGTATCACTCACTTATCCACCAAATGCCTGGCCGTATTAAGCTGACCCAAAGCCAATTTGTAATGATCCTTGTCGTACAGAACGTTCATCAAATCGGCATAGAAGGGATGCACGTCGTCCAACTTGGGAAAGTCCTGAATGATCTGCGACAAACGATCGTGGAAGTTCTGCTGCGTGTACTTCACTTTGCGAGTGTAAAACGCCCGGATTCTGGATATCTTGTAGCCCTTGTGGACCACCGTCGGGGTCTTACGCTGTGTCTTCGACAGCATAATGTCGATAAAGTCCTGCAAGGAAGGTGAAAAAAGAGGATTATTTACATATTGCGCATTTGGTAAACACCTGCAGTGAGGTTATGTATATTTCGGGGACTCCAAGGGGTGCTCCGCTGGACGTGCGCTTCCTGGGACACTTACCTTGGCTGGCGGAACCACCATGATCTTCTTGAAGTTGTACAGACTCATCTTGGCAGGATTTGTTTATTTTCCAAGCGACAAAAGGAAAATAAATGGAGAACCGACAGCAAAAACACCACGCGGTGTCAGCTTCGTATTCCAAAAAGAACCGATTTCTTCACGGAACCAGTTGAGGTTCACATGTGCTTAATAGCGCTGCCACCTTGGCTTCTCTTTCTGATGATGTGGCAGCGTTTCAACTGAAAATGAATGTTTTGACTTAAATGCATTAAGTACGTAATCTTTGTAAAAATTGATTGTTTGAATCCACCATTAATAATAAAAAAGTGAGCATAGATCAAATTTTTAAAACTTTAACTTTTTGCATAAAACAAACCACAAACTAATAGCTAAAAATTTATAAAAAGGAAACCAAATAATCATCTTGGAAGAAGTGAGCCAGTGGGATCTGTTTAAAAGACACGTAGGAACCAAAACAAAACAAAACAATTCCCGGACACAAACAAAATGGATTCGGAAGCTGCGACATCAGAATTTCTCTCCCGAGAGCAAATTATAAAGATCCTTAACGAAACGCCAGGGGGATTTATAAAACCCACGGATCCACCGTCACCAGCCCCACGACCTTTTAAAAAACTAGGAGTTTTGGTGGAAATTGATGAAATCGTGGGCCCCCAAGAAAATACAATGAAATCTGGAGACAACAGATGTAAGGAACAATCGTACTGTTGCGCAGAATGTCGAAGGATGTTGCCCACGGCACATTTACTAGATTTGCACATCACCGAACAGCACGATTTATATTTTGCCGCCAGCGTGGATCGAGGGGATAAGCCAATGTTTTCCTGTTTTCTGGAGGAATGCACTATCAAGTTTCAAACTCCCCGACAGCGCAAGGATCACTGCATTGTAGTGCACAAGTTTCCGGCCAACTATCGATTCGATCAGGGCAAGGATAAAGCCAAAGAAAAGCGTCAACCCAAAAGCAAAGTCAATTCCATGGAGGTGGACGAGGTGCACGATGAAACCAGAAGTCTGCCCTACATAAAGGCCTTTAGTTTTGGCCACCAAACGCACAGGACTTTCTACACTCGCAAGGATAAAAAACCTGGCGAATCACTCGATAATGTGCAATCCATGAAGGATGCTATCAACGATATTCTGGATTAGATTTACACAACTATTTATTTTGCGAATGAAGCATTATCCTGGTACAACTACATTAGTCCGTTAGCGGAAACATTGAAGATCATTTTGCCTTGCCGCTGGGCCTGAAATGAATAAAGTTGAGTTTTTATTGTTGATTCCGGGTCGCCACTCTTCTTCTTCTGGAGGGATTACTTACTTTCCGGTATTAGCATTAATATAGTGGTAAGCCACAACCAACAGAAATAGAAACACGCCAAGGACGTTAGAGAAAATTGCCAATTGCACGTCGGTGATCATTATGGAAAACGCGAAGAGTTCTATAAAAACAAATTGATTGATTAGAATCACATAGGCGAGTGACACGTCATGGGTGCAGGGCGGAAACCGTTGTATTCCTCATTCTTTGCTCCTAAATAAGTTACCAGGAGAGGTGGAACTTCTTTATGATATTTTGGTTACTTAAATAGGCTAATTTGCCTAGCTTAATACAAAAACGTTACCTTTTTCAGCGAAAAAACGAGCCGGTTTTTATTGTGTACAAATATTTCAGCGTGACCGTAGCTATAGAATAAAATTTACACTGGGCTATGTAGTGATGGAAAACGTTACACTTTTCGCCGCATCACAATAAAATATTTAAATTCTTTTATAACTAGTTAATCCTTGCTATAACATATTGATTTTATTTTAAGCGTCTGGGTTCAATTTAAAAACTCCTGAACAAAAAACATCTGATAAACACAGAAAACTTGCATTCTTTGGCATGTAGATAGCAAAGAACTAGTCAGTGATGCCAGACTAAAGAAAAACGTGATTTTTTAGGAATTTAAGGCTTTGCATTTGGGGGGAGAAGTTAACATCTGGCAACTCTGATAATGCTACACAATTTTTTTGCAGACGCATAATTTTCACCGCAAAGCCAGAAAAAAACCTTAAAAAAACGTGTTAAAACGGTGAAAAACGGCAGCTAAACAAGTAAGCTGGAAAAACTACTAAAAATAAGCCATAGAAAGTGAAAGAAAGGCGAAAACAAACGGCAAAAAGCGAGCGGCGGCTTTTGTGAAAAACTCGCCCCCCTTTTCAGCTATTGAATTTTCAACTCGTGCGGGGAGCCAACAAGAAAAGTATAAACCACGAAGACCCGTTATTTATTTTGTAGAAATCAACGAGATGAGCGAATTCCAAACGCAGCAGGCGAGCCTCAGTCAATCCCAAGCCCTTGCGCAGGCCATCCAACGTGCCAAGCAGGTAAGTTCCCCCCCGCAGAAGAGGAAGAACCGGAAGTCCCTATATATACGGATTCCCGTTCCTGCTTTCCGACCAGATTGCGGCCAAGATCCAGCCGAATCAGCCGGGTGGCGCTTCCGTGGGTCCATCGCCACCGGCTTCCGGAGGAGGAGGAGCGCCCAGTTTTAAGCGGCACAACGACGACGGCGACAGTGGCCCCGATTGCAAGCGCTCCTTCGGCAGTCCGGAGTACGGTAATAACAGCTCCAACATGAGCAGCGGCAGTGGGGGAGGCGGTGGTGGTGGAGGAGGAGGTGGAGGCCAAGGCGGTGCCAGCATCTCCCAGGCAATCGCACAAGCCGCAGCCGTTGCCGCTCGACTAGCCGCCTCGGCGGGAACCAGCTGCGAGGAGCAGATCCGACTGCCCGACTCCGTGGCCGGTGCCTTTATGGGTCGCGCCAGCAATGACACCATCACCCACCTCCAGGCGGAGTCAGGGGTCAAGGTGCAGGTAATGCAGGATCAGGATCGTGTGATCATGCTGCGCGGCCAGCGGGATACGGTCACCAAAGGTCGCGAAATGATCCAAAACATGGCCAACCGCGCTGGAGGTGGACAGGTTGAGGTCCTACTGACCATCAACATGCCGCCACCGGGACCCAGTGGCTATCCGGCGTACCAGGAGATCATGATTCCGGGCGCCAAGGTCGGTTTGGTCATCGGCAAGGGCGGCGATACGATCAAACAGTTGCAAGAGAAGACTGGCGCCAAAATGATCATCATCCAGGACGGACCCAACCAGGAGCTAATCAAGCCGCTGCGCATTTCCGGCGAGCCGCAGAAGATCGAGCACGCCAAGCAGATGGTGCTTGACCTGATTGCTCAAAAGGATGCTCAAGCTCAGCAGCAAGGCGGTCGAGGCGTTGGCGGCGGCGGAGGAGGTGGCGGAGGTCCTGGAATGGGTTTCAATAACTTCAACAATGGTAACGGTGGCGAAAGTGTCGAGGTCTTTGTGCCCAAGATTGCCGTGGGCGTGGTCATTGGCAAGGGCGGCGACATGATTCGGAAAATCCAAACCGAGTGCGGCTGCAAGCTCCAGTTCATCCAAGGAAAGAATGACGAGATGGGCGATCGGAGGTGCGTCATTCAGGGCACACGTCAGCAGGTCGAGGATGCCAAGCGCACCATTGACGGACTGATTGAGAATGTGATGGTAAGTTAGCAAACTATTGCTATGAAAAAAAAATACTATGGAAAAAGCAAATCTTATTACTTAGAGAATAATAATAAAAGTTAATGAATGCTCTTATAACTATGCTTAAATGTAATCAGCTAACTTATCAAGATTATTTTTATCATTTATTTTTCATAAACTTCTTTGATTTAAACTCGGCCTTATCCCACTAATTACAACTTTACAGCCAAAAACAAGCTTTAGATAACAACTTCGGTAGTGATTGATGTATATATTTAACATTATGAATATATTTTTTGATGGTAGGGCGAAGAAAATACTTTGTTTTGATTTACAGCTGTCTTTCCATTGACACTTTTTAATTTACTTCTGATTTCATAGCAACGCAATGGAATGAATCGAAATGGCAACGGTGGAGGCGGAGGAGGGCAAGGAGACTCCGGCAACTCCAACTACGGCTATGGATACGGCGTTAACCACGCACAGGGCGGCCGAGAGGAGATTACATTCCTAGTGCCTGCTTCCAAATGTGGAGTAGGTTCCCAAATAAGGCCTACAAAATATGAACTCCTCTTAATGTAAACCCTTCCTCTGCAGATTGTTATTGGTCGAGGGGGCGAGACCATTAAGCTGATCAACCAGCAGTCTGGGGCCCACACAGAAATGGATCGCAATGCCAGCAATCCGCCCAATGAGAAGCTCTTCAAGTCTAAGGGCACCACCGATCAGGTGGAGGCAGCCCGCCAAATGATCTCCGAGAAGATAAACATGGAACTGAATGTCATTTCCCGCAAACCCATTGGTGGTGGCGGTTCGGGCGGTGGTGGCGGAAACTCTGGCGGAGGGCAAAACAACTCACATCACAATCAGCAGCAGGGCGGCTATGGTGGCCCCAATCAAATGCAAGGCGGCGACCCTAATGCGGGCGGAGGCTATCAGCAGCAGCAACAACAGTGGGGTGGACCCTACGGTCAACAAGGATGGGATCCGTCTGGACAGCAGCAACAGCAGCAGCAGATGGCCATGGCCAGTCAAGGTGGAGCCGCTGCGGCGGGGGGAGCAGCTGGTGGACAGGATTACTCGGCACAGTGGATTGAGTACTACAAGTAAGCGAATGAATTTAAAAGAAACCATTAGTTTTATTTCAAGTTTGTGTTTAATTAAACTTAGCTTAAATTAATTTAATATATAATTATATTAATATATTATATATATTCATTTATTATTTAGACAAATGGGTTGCCATCGCGAAGCTGAAATGATTGAGCAGCAAATGAAGGCCAAGCAGGCAGGAGGATCCTCTGGTCCTGTTCAGCAGCAGCCTCAACAGCAACAGCAACCACAGCAACAACCATCACAACAGCAAGGAGGCGCCGGTGGTGCCGGAGGAGCCGACTACAGTGCGCAGTGGGCGGAGTACTACCGCAGTGTGGGCAAGATCGAGGAAGCCGAGGCCATCGAAAAGACGTTAAAGAACAAAGTTCGTTTTCTACATTAATAACCCAACGTTTTTTTTAAATAAGTTAACCCAAAAACTTATTCACTTTAGCCGCAGAATGGAGCCCCTGGTGGCCCTAACAATGCACCCAATCCCAGCGGGCCCAATCCCGGACAGCAACAACCCAATCCTGCTGCGGCGGCAGCAGCGGCTGCTGCAGCGGCAGCCGGCGGATATGGCCAGGGCATGACGCCCAGCCAGTACGCACAATACTCGCAATATTATGCGGCGGCAGCTGCAGCTGGTGGTCAACCGCAGGGAGCGCCTCAGCCCGGCGGAGGTCAAGGCGGTGGTCCACCTGCCGGCTATCCAGGCGGTTATCCGGGAGCTGGCTACGGCGGCTATCCTGGTGCGCCGGGACAACAGCAACAGCAGAAATCGCACAAGAACGACAAACACTGAGGAAGCTCGGAGGGAACGGGATCGGGAGCGGGGAGGAGATGCATGTGGGAGTGGAAACGAACGCCGAAGTGGAAGATGCTGCGGTCGGAGGACGATGCAGGTGCCTTGCATGGGGTGAGTTCGAAAGCCAATACATTCCTTAATATGGGAGCGTTTTTATGTATTTGAATTGAATTGCGACCTTTGAATTTTGCTTTACGTATTATTGCTTACCCATCTGCCTGCCTAATTTTATAAATCCATTTACCTTCTCTACTTTACAAACAATTTCTTACACAATATATTTGGGTCAGAATTTTCCAACTAAGCATATAGAATTTTTATTTTTGATTAGATGGGAAGGGTATAAAAATAAAATAATAAGCAGTAACATAGTTATTTAATTTTGAAATATTTCCAGTGGTATACATTTCTTAAGTACATTATTGTTAAAATTGAATCATGTAGGCTCAATTGGAAAATTTTCTGATCCATTTGCTACAAATTGACTTGTGATATCCTAACCAAATCTTGTTTACCATGCGTAAAACTCTTTGCAGTGATCTATTGTTCTACTATGTCCTATGTCTTTTATCCCCCACAAAACTAGCAAATCAGAACAGAAAAGCAAACGCAAATGATTTTTAATTGCAATAAAATAACAACAGCAAAAGCATCACCCGACAGACAACACACGGCAAAATGGAGGCGGAGATCAGGGGGTACAAAGGAGGAGCCGGATCAATCAGCCAAACAACAATCGGAGAAACATTAACGTTTAGCTTGTGTCGTCGCACTTTTGCATAAATGTAAATTAATATTATTAACACTGTCTATTATTTGGATATTGCCTATAATTTCCCCACTAGCTCGTAAGCAATTTCCCCCGAGAACATAAGTCTATTATTACCTACTATCTATGCATAATCCCAACCGATTGAAAGATAATGCCCTTGCTGTCCATGATCACCACTTGCACAGACACATTTATGAGAAGCCAATTTGACCCGTTTATGGAAGTTTTCTTCGGTTTTTATACCCATCTGCATATATAAATTATTTCATCGTCAATTCAGGCAAATCTAATCCGGGTCAGCCTGAATGATCCGCGCCGCGTGTTTTTCATTCGAAAGACACCTTGGTATAAATTCTCAATTGCAATATCTGAAATTCTACAACGTTAGTAGCATACAACGCCTATATATATACCGCATAAAAAATAACGCAATTTTTTAATACATGAACCCATATTCACTTACTTAGCTTAGCTTAGTTTTACGACAAGTCATTTGAACAAGATCTGATCAACAACTTACACATGATCAACTATGTCTGGTAAGATTTTTAATATTTAATCATACCGTTTATGGAGTTTACTTGATGTGAGGGACTGGTTTAAATGTGTTCTAATTTGGTTGGTCTGACAATTTGCATTACAAATATTTTCACCTTTCAGTTGTGGAGAGCCCATCAAATCATTTTCGTAGTAGTAAGCTGAAACTGAAATTATTTATGATCTACATTCTGATCTATATTTGTAGATTCTTAATTATAAATTTGGTAAAACCATATTTTCAATATTTACTTTTAAACTGACTAACTTATGAGCAGGAGAGTAATCATGTCTAATTTAATATCTATATCATAAAATATGCAAACATAAAGTATGTACTTTCAGAGGCCGCTCTTCAGACCAGTTCATAACAGAATTTCGAAATCAAACCCAAAAATTTTTCACACAAAACAAAACAAACATGAAGAAATACAAACCATATATTGTAAAAGTGTCAAACTTGGTAAGATCGTGTGTTGTTATTACTGTCTATACAATTATATATTGCAAATCAAACAATGAAACTTACCCAAATGAATGTAGGTCTACCATAAATGATAAACATATAATCTTAACTAAGTTTTACGTCTCCCCAAATATCTGATTGTTGCAACAGCAGATGAACCATATTGTAACCGTTGTTCGACTAGGCAGGCTCAGATCGGGACACCGATCCAGATCTTGATCCGTCTGCAGTCGGCAAAGCATTGAATAAACATTTAATATACCGTATAATATACATCCATATACATATTGCCAGCACAAAGCACTTTGGTGTTGTGTGCCCTATTGCGTTTCTATTGATTACATTAATGCCCGCTACTTCCTCTGGGGTAAAGTTTTCTTACTTCTTAACAGTTTTTTTAAGTCAGTCTGTTTTAATTTCCCAGAACTTTTAATACGCAGGCAGTCGCAGTTTAATAAACTATTTTAAATATGCAAAAGATATAACTTAAAACCAGTATAATAAAAGGAACTCTCAAAAATTAGTAGCGGGTATCACATTGTCGGGACTTCGACTGTACCGATCTTAATTGTTATATTGTCAGCTGATTGTTTATTGCCATATTTGAGAATCGTTTATTGAGCGTATTTTCAGAGGTTCTTTGCCTTGGTCGTGGAAGAAATCTTGGGGATCGGGACAGGCTCTTAACTTTTCCCATTCGATGGGTCCATTGACTGCCACATTGGGTATGAGTTGAACCATTGGAGTAACATTTTTATATTAAACTGCACATATATTGTACCCATAATTGATTATCTTGAATATTCTATATACTATTCTGTGAAATTTACATATATATTTCTAAATATTTTCCTAGCGAAAGCAACGATATTTCATTTGCTCAGTGCTGTGTACTTTTAAAATATCGTTTCAAGGTATCATTTGCTTGTTATATGAGCGGTTTACATTGGCCCCCAAGCCGATCCTTTATTTATAATGTTCCATTTTGTGTCTCATATATTGGGTGACTCGTATAATAATAGTGAAAAAGGTCTAGAATTAGGAAATAATCCAAACAATTGAATGAAAATATTTCTATGGCAGTTTGGCAGGGTCTATCTCAATTTTATGTGGTTGTGGGGGAAGTCGTTCTTCATTTTTCTTTCCAGCAAAGGTTTCCGAGATGTCCAGGTGTCTAGCCATCAAGGTAAGTATGACCCTGCCATATATTAGTAGTATGTTCAATAACCCATTACGTTGAACATTTGTTTCGGGTCCAATGTCAAGCCGTTTATTTTGCAATCAAATGATATTTTTGAAATTTATATTTCTGCATACATTTCCATTTATTTGATTTAAATTACGTGCTTTGATCTATTTGCAGGACCAATTGAGAGCAAAGTTCATTCCTTCCCTTGTATTATCTATATTCCATTGATATATCTATATATTTTGGTCCCGAAATTGTCGCAAATGTTTTTTCTTAAAATTTTTTTTATATATATATTAACCACGACGCTTTATTTGTATCAATATATATATATATATTATATCTGAATCATAACCGACTATCTGTGTGTTTCAGCCTTATGTCTGCGTGATAACTTCCAATTACCACCCGGTCAAATCATTGACAGAAATTAGTTTACTTTTCTACTTAAGGTAGATCACAAATCAATTCAATTCAACTAAGTGCATTATAAATAATACTTTTGAAATGTCATATTTATTGAATATATACATTTGCTGAATAAACTTTTCTATCTAACAAAAACTGAATCCATTTTTATTCTGGTTTAAGTCAAGACAGTTTACATTTTTACGGGCCTGTTATATGCTTTAAATACTTTTCGGTCTGCCAAAATACCTCCTGCTTAAAATTTCCAACCCAATCCAGAATTGAAAAAAGATTTGCTTAAGTTGTAGCATTTTATTTCTGATACACTGCATTTTTTTATCCCTTTAGCACTTTGCAGTAAACATTTAAAAATTTAAACAGAAAAGACTGAATAAGAGTATGAAGCTTAGTTTCCAATGTGCGGGGCTAAACAGATTTTCTTCATTTTGAGGATTCGGCAATTCAACATACATCAAGTTATTTTTTTTGATTTTATATTTATTCAAGAGATTACTACAAGAAAACTTACATTGAGAGCGGCTGTGATAATATTCAATAATATTTTGCTGGCAATTTAAACTTGTCCTTCTCATATCCAGTTTCTATTTCTTTCCGTCATTAAAAATTAACATACATCTATTTTTACCTTGTAAATATCTAATATTTTAAATATTAACTTTATTATTTTTTCTCATTCATTTTTCAATGTTCTTTTTGTTTATTTTACTCACTTTTTGTAGTGAGCTTGTCTCTAGTTGCGTTAATTAGCCGAGAAACCTTCCTAATCCTCAAATCACACAGGGGCCCGAGCACTTAGGTTGAACAGGAGTTAGGGGATAAGGGATATCAAAATAGGTTCAAACTAAGTTGGGACGATCTGCTAAGAACTTGAATCAGTAGCTCCGCTTTAGTGTGCCTTAAAATTACTCGCCCAAAAAATACATATTTTACATTGCCAAAAATGTTTGCAATCAAGTAAATTTAAAAGTTTCTTCCATTTTCGAGTGTTTTTGTACTGCTGCCAGTGTGTGAATTTAAGGTATTTAATTCCAAGCCTTTTTCAATTTTCAATTTGCTTTTTGTTTATTATTTCTTGTACCTTAATTTTAAATACATAATTTCTTGTTGAACGTCAAATCAAAATGCACTACAGTTTAGTTTTTAATCGGATTTTTACATTTTTTTTTTGCTTATTTTACACACTTTTTGCAGAGCTGTCGAGAGCACATACCTTCAAGAAAATAGAAAATAATGTGTATGCGTGTGCACTTTTGGACAAATAAAAAGTTATATATACAGATGAATATATATAAGAATGGATACTCTACTGCTGCTGACGTTAGGATTAAGGTAAACTGCAGTTAGGTTTTAGGATAGGAGTACAAATCATATACTTATAGGACAACTACTAAGAGTTACATTTCGCAAACTATGCCCAACGTTGTTTCGTCTGGGCAAACAACTTGCTGACGTTTCTGTCGCGGTTTATTTTGTTATGTTGTTTGTTTGTTTGTTTGTCTACAGGACCTGGACCCTCCCCTTCTTCAAAGTGACTTCATCTCTAAGTGGTTTTATGTCGCAATTAACTGAAAAAGATAACATTTAAAATGTTATAAATGTTGAGAAGCGACACCGATTTGTGGCTTACCGCTTTGACTGTGGCTTTAATGAAGTCTTTTTTGTCGGTTAGATCAAAGTCTGGATATTTAGCATACACCTGCTTGCACACTGTTTTCATGGTAATCTCTTCGAGATTGGCCTTATCCAATATCTCTTTGACATAACCGCGAATTTGTTCATCCTGCAGATATAATCGTTATTAGGGTTTCAAAATCTAGTAATTAAGGGATTACCCACCGTTGGGAATGCCAATTTGCCCTTTTTGGTTAGTGGCTCGTCCTCGTCGGATTCATCTTTGTCATCGACATCATCCTCTTCATCGGACGATTCTTTCTTTGATTTTTTCGATCGACCATCGGCTATGGATAGAAATCATTTTATATACAGATTTGACTTTGGTAGTTTTTGTTTCTTAACATACCCTTTGCAGCTGGTTTTGACTTGTTGTTAGCTTTGCTATTTTTCGCAGGCGTTGTGGGCTTCTTACTCTTTTTGGGACGTTCCTCCTGTAATCAGGATATAAAGGTTGTAATAACTACATCAATAATTAACGTCTTATTGACTTACCTCGCTTTGATCGCTGCCAAACTCGGAAATCTCCTCCTCCTCTTCATCCTCGGAAATATCATCTTCTTCGCTATCAGAGTCCTTCCGCTTTCGTGAAGCTGCTCCCCGCCCTCGACCCCTCCGTCCAGCTGATGCAGGGGCTGCCGGTCGGCCGCGTTTACCAACGGAACCACGTTTACGTTTTGGGACCTGTGGGTTTTGGTGTTTTAATATAGATTATATGGATCATCCGCTAAAATTTAACTGTTAAACTTGCATCACTATCGGCTTCTGAAACTTCAGACTCCTCTTCCTCTTCTGAGTCAGAGTTTCTTCGACGACTTTTGCGTGCCGGACGACCACGACTACCGCGACTTGGACCTTTGCGACCAGCTGCGCCAGCACCACCGCGACCTCCATCAGAATCCGAGTTGGCGGAGGGATTGTACTACGACAAAAAATATTAGTCATCTCTTTCTTGCTTTTGGGAATAGGATCTTACATCTGAGCCGGACTCCGAGTCATCATTACGTCTTCTCTTGGGCACCGCCACTTTCTGCTCGCTTTCTTCAGAGCTAGAGAAATCTACATAGGCGGACATTTCTGAAAGTTAAACCGCATTAAAGGTTAGATGATGGATGATTCGTTAAGTAAAAACTCACTTTTTCCTGCCGTGGATCGCCTTGGACGTCCGGTGGAGTTGCGTGCCGAGCCTCTGCCAGCGGCGCTACTCGACTTTCCGCTCTTGCGCTTCTTGTCATCTTCGCTAGGCGGATCCTCCTCATCCTCGTCCACATCCTCATCATCAGGATCTTCCTCCTCCTCATCACCCTGCTCCAAGCAGAGCGATTCGTCGGGTTCCATTAGGAATTTGAGCACACGTAGGCAAGTCTCGTTCTTGCTGCCTTTGCGATCGAGGGTAAGGATCTCACAGATGCTGCGCAGACCCTTGTTGTCCACTTTTTTGATGGCCTCCAGTTTTTTGTTGTACTCCGAAGAATCCTTGGCAAATTCAAATCCGGCAAATGAACGCAAGTTCTTCTTCACCACATTGTTCTTGCCCTGGGCACCAAAACAGATCTGGAAAATAGAATTAAGTTGAATCAACACTTTTAAAGTTTTAAATTCTGTAAAGCTTACAGCATGCAAGGTCTGCAGACCATCAACTCGAGTCTTGTTGATGTTCTCGTTGATCCGATCGATCTCGGCCAGAGCCACAACATTTTCATCGTCTTCTGCAACCTCGTTGTTCTTGTCCAAGCCATCGTTTTCATCTCCATCAGCATCATCGCCATCCTCATCGTCCTCGTCCTCCTCATCGTCGTCCTCATCCTTGGCCACCTTGCCGTTTTTGGCCTTCGGTTCCGGTTTCTTGGCCTTTTCCGCTCCGGACTTTGGTTTGGCCTCATCTGTGGCATCCTTTTTCTTTTCCTCTGCTTCTGGCTTTGATTTTTTCTTCTCACTTTCTGCATCGCTTGCCTTATCATCGTCTTCCTCCGGCTCATCTCCATCCTCCGTATTCTCCTCTTCCTTCTCAGAGTCGTCCTCCTTTTTAGTATCCTTACTATTGGATTTCTTCACAGCGGGCGAGGGGGACTTCTCCTTTTTGTCCGCTGTGCACATAAAATAAAGTTTTGTTAAGTCAAGTCAGGGCTAAAATTGGAAGGACTGATTCTAATTGAATTGAAAAATATATAGTTTTTTGGTTAAAAAATAAATAAAAAAATTTATTTTTGTAAATGTATGTAGTCCTTGTAAAACAATCGAGTTTTACCAATCAAAGTTTACATTAAATTATATTGTTAAATATGTACATCCACCTCATGAAACATTGCAACTCTTTAAAACTGTAAGATAAAATAAAAGATTATCTTCAACCTTGGGAAGTTCAATGCTAAGTTTTGGGAGCGCAAAGAACTATGAATATTGAAGTTTTACTGTACCTAGGCGTTAACTACGCAGAAACCCATTTAAAGGATTAAGCATGAACAATAGCCAAGGAAATACGAAAAAACCTAAAAAACTTCGAATGATATAATAGTTTTTTTGTCAAACACTAATTCTTTGGCCGGAGAGGGATTTGAACCGCATGCCTAAGAAACATAATAAACAACAAGAAACGACGCTTCAGCCCGCAGCGCCATAAGGCAACTCTCCCAACAAGTAGCCGAAACCCAACTAGAAGTCAAGTGGGAGAGACAGAGAGAGGGACAGCTTTCTCGAAAAGAGAGCGAGTCACCAAGTCGGCGCGTTTTTTGAAACGCGCGCAAAATTCATTTTATGATTTTTGTTTTTCTCTCTCGTTCTTCACACACACACTGACAAGTTTTTGCTTTTATTTACCTGCATCCGATTCGGGATTTGAAACTACCGTTGAGTTTCCTTTCGTTTTTTTATCAACGACGTCATCAGTGGCAGCGGCGTCGACTTCAGTAGCGGTAGGGGGTTCAGCTGCATCTTTGGGCCCCGCCGGTCCCCCTCGGTTTTCGCCTCCCCCGCTGCACCCGTTGCATTTTCCACCTCGCTTACCTTATCGGCGGCATTTTCTTTGGTTGCCGTTTCTGCCGCTTTGTTAGCATCCTTTCGATAGCATGGCGAAAACATGGAAATATACAAAGTCACAATTGGATTACACTTATAAATTTTTTGGCGGCCACTACCATGGATTTTCGGTGCGCTTTTTTTTAATCGCAATATGATTGTGTGGTTCTTCGCCGAGTTTGTGTATGCGTGTCTTCTTCGCCGAACAAAACGAAAGAGCGAGCGAGAGAGGGAGAGCAACGTGAGAGAGGCGATAGAAAAAACAACATTGCAAATCTATGAGGCGCACACAATCGCACTAGTCGTCCCGCTCGCACCCGCTGCTTGCGCTATCTCGGACCACAACGACGCCATGTTTATACACACAAACGAACGGCGGGAGAGAACCGATAGTCGGATAGTTGCCTCGCGGAGAATTTGTTGCGCTCTATTTACACACAAAACACGATGGCAATTCCGCCGTTTTTAATTCGCCCAGCCGGCAAATACTTTCCGACACTTTTTCCAATATTTTTCACCTATTTACGTACCATATTTCTAATGGTTTTTTTGTTTTTCCGTCAGCCGACACACATTCAATCTGGTAACTAGAAGAGGTGTCACAATCGATAGTATCGCAGACAACAAGCACTAAAAAATGTCAATCCGAATACAGGGTGCTCTTTAAGTGATTCGTTTTGGCGGGCTTGTTATTTGAGTTCTTATGTAATATCCTAAATTGTTAGTGCTTTATATTAACTGACTAGAGGGCCTGTGTCCGCTTCGCTGGTCAACACAATTTAACAACATAAAAGTCAATGTTGCAACATTTTTCAAATATATGAAAGTATAGAAAGATGGTTATTTAACACTTTTCCAGTTTGACTTCTCCACTTGCGCAGCACAATCCAGCCGTTTCTCTTTTAAACTTTAACGCACTGCAATATCGGTATATAGTCGCCATTGGTCCAATATCATTATCACTGTATTTCGCAGTGGGGTCATATTGGAATGCCAAGCGATTGAATGATGTCAGTGATCTCCATGAGCCCATTTGTCTTTCTTCGCTTAAGTTTTGTGAATATACTTGTTGGTGGCTTGGATGTCTGCGGCCAATGTTTGCACGTCGTCCTCTAAGCATTTCGGACTATGGACAGAGCGGTGAATTTATCCTCAAATGCACCATCCACATAATTTTCACAGTTCAACTTAAATTGAATAAAAATTTTTTTTTTTTTAACAATTTCACAGTGAACACAAAAATTGAGTTAAAATGCTATGGGAGCGTGTTTGTCAGTGTGATGAGGTAGCAACTCACTTTATATGCGACAATATTGCAATTTTCTTACGGATCCCTAATTTTTTTCAAATTAAATTATGGCCTATTTAACTCCACGATAATATAGCTTTCTATCGGTGAAAGAATTTTTTAAATCGGACCAGTAGTTTAGGAGCCTATTCCCTGCAAACAAACAAACAAACAAACAAACAAACAAACAAACAAACAAATTTTACCTCTTTATAATATTAGTATAGATTTTGGCACAATTTATTTTAATTTTATAAAATTTGGTTTGTCTGGCAGTTGGTATAGTGATATGATCACATTAGTTGTACCTTGAAAATGTCGATGGTATTAACAAATACTCGAAACTTAATAAACTTAAGAAATCCACTTAAATTTTAATATTCATAAGAAATGTTTCTTAATCTCATGTTTGTTATATTCAAAAAATAAAGGAAACAACACATTCCCGCTTATCGAAAACATTTTACGCGCGCTTCTTAAACAGATTGGGCGGCGGTCACACTGGTTGCAAAAAAAAAGCGCGCGGCGTGTTTTAGCAAACAAAACAACTCCAGATATTTGTGGGCATTGCCTATCTACCTTACTATTATTTTGATTTATTACAAAAGTTTAGAAAACACCCAATCGGCATGGGAATTTTGGGCTTATCTAAGCTCATTGCGGATTTGGCGCCACAGGCCATACGCGAAAGTGAAATCAAGAATTTCTTCGGTATGTCCCTCGATATGGTTTGTGTTAGAACTTAACTTTATAGTTATTTCTGTGTTTTAAAGGTCGCAAGGTGGCCATTGATGCCAGTATGTGTCTGTACCAATTCCTCATTGCGGTCCGCTCTGAAGGCGCCCAGTTGGCCACCGTGAATGGTGACCCTACGTCCCATTTAATGGGCATGTTTTACCGCACAATTCGATTGCTGGACAATGGTATTAAGCCGGTGTATGTTTTTGATGGCAAGCCCCCAGATCTAAAGTCCGGAGAGCTGGCAAAGCGTGCCGAGCGGCGAGAGGAGGCGGAAAAGGCGTTGAAAGCAGCCACAGATGCGGGAGATGATGCCGGAATCGAGAAGTTTAATCGCAGATTGGTTCGCGTGACCAAGGAGCACGCCAGAGAGGCAAAGGAACTGCTAAGTCTGATGGGAGTGCCCTATGTAGATGCTCCCTGCGAGGCGGAGGCCCAGTGTGCTGCCCTCGTCAAGGCAGGAAAGGTATATGCCACTGCCACGGAGGATATGGACGCCCTCACCTTCGGTTCGACGAAACTCCTCCGATATCTCACCTACAGCGAGGCACGCAAGATGCCCGTCAAGGAGTTTAGTTACGAGAAGCTGCTGGAGGGTCTGTCCATCAACAGCCGTGAGTTTATTGATCTCTGCATCTTGCTGGGCTGCGATTACTGCGAAAGCATCAAAGGTATTGGCCCAAAGCGGGCCATCGAGTTGATCAACAACTACAGGGATATCGAGACCATTCTGGATAACATAGATACGAGCAAGTACACGGTGCCTGAAAACTGGAATTACAAGGTGGCTCGGGAACTCTTCATTGAACCAGAAGTGGCCAATGCCGAAGCCATTGATCTGAAGTGGGTCGAACCGGATGAGGAGGGCTTGGTCAAGTTTCTCTGCGGTGACCGGCAATTCAGCGAGGAGCGCGTTCGCAACGGCGCAAAGAAACTGATGAAATGCAAGCAGGCCCAGACTCAAGTGCGACTCGATAGCTTCTTTAAGACTCTGCCCAGCACTCCGAATGCCGCGAATGCTGCCAAACGAAAGGCCGAGGAGGCCAAGAAGAGCGCCAACAACAAGAAGGCCAAGACCAGCGGAGGAGGCGGTGGCCGTGGCAGACGGCCAAAGTAAGTAGCTTCAGTTGCCATCTGGAAAAACGTACAATTCTTTAATTTTAACTTAACCGTATTTAAAGCCTATGCATACAATAAAAACTACATCTTTGAGCTTAATGCTAGTTGGTCTGCTTGTGGGCTTGCGGGTGAGGTTGGGATGTTGGATTATGGATATTGGATTTTGAAATTAGAGTTCGGATTGTTGGGGGCTGCGACTACAGCAAATACTGCTTGGCCAGGGCGCGCAGGAATCGGGATTTCCGCACCATGGCGCACTCTCTTTTGATCTCCTCGTTGTTGTTTGCATTCAGTTCTAAAGTGCCCATCATGGAGATCTGTTTTAGAGACAACAAATTAGTTACTATAACCTGTAAATTATTAATTTGAAGAACCCTACCGCTTCAAGTTTCCGACTGTGCTCGCCTCTTTTCGCATGCAGATTAACGATAAACTCCAGCAGCGTGGTGTCCCAAATACAACTGTAATATGCGTCCATGGCATCCGTAAAATTCGATGATTTCTCGCTGAGATTCTTGAACACAATACCGTAATCGATCTCATCAAGAAACTGACAAAGCACGGTGGCCTGCATGTGGCAGCCCAGATTGGCGGCACAGCGAATCATCTTGCGGATGACATAGTCGTCGGCCACATTCCTCTGCAGCGGCATGGTGCAGTAATCCGTGCCTGTGACCAGGGCATTTACATAGCAGCGCATTGCGGACTCGTTGTTGCCGATGGCCAAATCCAGATCCCCCTTCATCTTAAGCCAGGAAATGGTTTGCGGGTAGTAGGACAGGGCTTCGGATAAGAGCCATTGCAGAGTTTCACAGACGCTCCTTAAACTGTAGCTGATGGGGCTGAAAAATATGCAGAATTGAAATTATCAGAAATGGAGTTATTTAATCAATGCCAATCTACTCACTTGTTGATGCTGGTGGGCCACAGCTGCATGTACTCGCAGCTTAAATCATGATTGGGATCGTCCTTGAGGATGTTGTGGATCTTGCCTATCATGGAGATGGCCAGTCCGAAAACGCTTTGGTGGCGGAGGCGCTGGAGGAAAGCCTGCAGGGAGCTAATCCCGCCAGCTCCCGAAGAACCCCGCTTCGGAACGTTGAGGAACATGCTAAGCATCAGTTCCCAGGCATCTCGACACACCTTCTTGGGGCCCTTCATCTTCTCCATCTCAATGAAGGTGGCTGCAAAGGCGAGTGGGAGTTCCAGAGGACCGGCACGCTTATCCAGAAAGATAAGCGGTGGGAATTCTGTGAGGTTCAGCAGCATGATTGCGCAGCTTTCCAGGATATCCGGCCGCGGGACAATTGAGTCGCCCGCCTGCAGAGCGCCCAAGCACTGCTTACATCTTCCTCCTAAGGACTGCAGATCCAGCGGTTTCTGGTGCCACTCCTCCAGAGATTGGGTTATCTGTATGTGCAATATCTCCCAGGTGAGCAGCTTGCACATCAGCTGCACATTGGCTGCCATCTCTTGTCGCTGCGTTTCCGACTTGAGGACACTTAGCATGGAGACAGCATCGATATAGTTACCCCTGGTAGCCAATTCGCGCGCCTTCCCCAGCAGCACATAGCTAAAGTCCTGCAGAAAGCTTACTGGCATAGCCATGATTAGAGTTTTAAGGGGTTGCGGCACATCCCAGCTGGGATTAATAGCCCACAAAGGTTTCCCGGGAGCAGTGCCACAGAGTTTTACTAGCAGAATCCTGACAGTGTTGGCATTTGTGCAGCTAATCAGTTGTCTTTCTAGGGCGGCCACATCCACACGATTCACTTGAAAAAAAATAAAGAAAAGCGTCAGATATATAATTTAAGTTTAAATAAAGTATTTTCTTACTTTTAGATTGGCACATCCAGTCGGAAAGCGAAGCCAATGAGTTGGTGGGCACTGGCGGTGCCGCCTGCAACATCTGTTCGTCGAGATCCTGAAGTTCATCCGCCGAGAATAGACCAAATCCTCTCACCGTCTGCAACAATTGCCGTGACTGCCCGCCCTGATGGAGCAAACAGTCGATGAGGAAGTGCTTGAGTGCGGCCTGTTCCTTGAGACTGCAGTGCGGCAGCACTTCCTGCAGAGCTTCCACCAATGGCGGCAGGCAGTCCAGTTCCCTGTACTTCTCAAAGTACTCCACGCTGCCGAATATGCTGCCCCACTCGAAGATGTTACGGACCACATTTAGGGCGGCGACCTGCATTTGCAGCTGAACGGTTTCCTTAAGTAAGCCCGTGGAAAGTGAGCCCTCAATATCCAGTTCCAGCTGCCGTCGACTAACAAGAGGTATCTCCCGCGCTCTGTTATCTAACCGCAGTATGGAAACAATGTCTGTGTAGTTGTTAAGCAGAGACTGTTGGAATTTCTCCAAGAGGGTTTGCTCCTGGGCACTAATTCCGCACGCTTGCAGCAGACCCTCCAGTTCCGCCGGTCGTATGTGGCAGAAATATAGCGTTGTCTGTTGCGGGATGGCCTGCAAATTACTATTGCAGGCGGCGGCCGCTTCTCGGGCCAAAACATACTGTTTGGTGTACAGGTAATATTGGGCGAGCTCGTAATGCAGCTGGGCTCTCAACTCCTGTGGCGTTATTAAATGCATAAGGTCGTAGTTCTGGCCAGTGCCCAGATCATCGCACTGCAGGGTGACAAAGCTGTCGTAGTGAAACACGTAAAAGGGCTTTGACGAGGCGCAGAGCTGCTGCAAATACTCGATGGATGGTTGAGTAGGTGTGTCCAGAAACTGCTGCAGTTGATCAACAGTTTGGTACCTTAAATTGGATAGGAAAGCTTATTGTAAACCAGTTTTTCTATAGCGAGCAGATCATACATGGTATTTGGAGGACGTGGCGTTTTTAGCGCCTGATCCTTGATCAGTTGCAAGCGTAAAAGCAGGCGGTGGTATATCGTCAAAGCAAATCTCGCTGCTCTTTCGTTGCCAGCAGTAGCTAAAAGGGTTTTGATAGGTTACATTGCCGTTTAAGTCAATCTCCTGAGGACAACTTACAAATTTTCAGGTCAAAATCACTGGGCAGGGGAATACTCAAAGGGCAGCCGTAGCTAATGGTGCACAGATCGCGCAGCAGGGCCAGCTGCATAATCACAGGCAGGTTCTTTTCCAGCGCATCGAGGTCCCATTTCAGCCAGGTGGCCACTTTGAGCTCCAGGATCTTGAGGGCCAATTGCTTGCGGGTCAATTGCAGGCCTGGTTCCGCCGGCCTTTGTGGACTGTGGGGCATGCCCACTCCACCGGTTACAGTGGGCGGTGTGGCATTGGTTCCGACGGGTATTGGTCCTGAACCAGGAGGTGCAGCTAGATTCTGCAAATCGCTGCCGGGTGTCACTACTGACGTCATGGCCGTGTCCGGCGTCATACTAATGAACTGCATGATTAGCTCCATGGCACTGGGTTCTGCAAAATACGGGTAACCACCGTAAACTCTTACGTCCGCAAGATTCCACAAGTGATTCCTACTTACCGGGATGCGGGCGCTGCAAATGTTGCGTGATCTTGTGCGGATCAAGCAGGAACTCGAACCAGAGCACCGTTTCGGCGGCCAGCGGCACTGGCTTCGGCTTGAGCGGATCGTCCATGCTAGTCCCTGCCAAAATTCACCAACCAAAACAAAAGTTAAACAAAATACTTGTGCAATCAGTGCTGGTGAATGGCGAACGGAGACAGCTGGCTGCGGTGGCTTTCTAACACTGATTGGCCGGAGTATCGATACTTGGAATCGATTGCTTGCTCTGCTCTAAATCAGCGTGAGCGGAAACGGAAGTGCGCAATAAACAACAGCGGTTTTTTATATGATAATAGTTCTGTATGACGCTCTTTTTCTGGCGGTTGATAAAGAATAAATCCAATAAAATGTTTTTTAATATAAACCAATATGATGTCTTTGCTATTTTCCGCATATCGACTTTTACTTCACAACTATACTTTATACATAGTTTATACATTTGTGGATTTTATTTTAAACATTTAAAAAAGTTTAAATTTTTTTATTTTTGGCAAGGCATCTCACAACTTTATTTAGATCCAATAATATGTTTTTTCAGTTATATCAAATACAACTTGTAGCCTAAAACATTACTGAATTTTCGCCCTTCTTAAACATATTTAAGTGCTGCCAATTAAATTTAGGAAACTTGGAGTCCAGCACCCAAATACTAATTTCAACCGTATTTTATTTGTGTGTTGCAGAGTTGACACTTTTTTGTTATATCCATGTCCCATTGGGTGTCATAAAATTCTAATTTATATCGCCCTTTCACATAAATCGATGGAAATAAACAAAAACGACCAAGGGGAGAGCCTAATTTCATACTGCCTAAGACATTTTTGTTGTTGTTCATTAAAAATGTAAAACAGCTTAAAAACTATTCTAGTAATTTATGCAAATATTTATGTTTGTTGAATATTGAGTCAGGTGCTCTAAAGTTAGGTATATCTCTTTTTCTGCTTGACGACACTGAGAGAAAATGACTAAAATAGCATACATATGATGGATGGTTTCCAACTATCGTTGATGCGTGTTTTTTCTTAGTGTGCTTCTCCCAATTTTATTGAAGCCTCTTCTTTAGAGCCGTCTGATCATGATCTTTATGAGCATTTCTCGGCTCCATAATCTGAATCTTAAAAATATTTAACGTTCAATCAGGTGATTTTATGCAAATTACACGTTTCAACCTAATACATATGCATATTTGAGATTATGGCATTTTTTATCTGCCCATGACGATTTGTATTTGTTGGGCGGGATGCTGGGCTCGTCAAGGCTTCTCGAATAAAAATTTCAAAATAGAAATATATTTTATTTCTGGGGTCAAACGGGCGATAATCTTTCTACTTTGTTGTCTCGCCATTTTTCCTATAATTATGCAATAAATAACAAAGAAAATAGACTTTATTTTCAAACGCTTCTTCGCATAGGAAATGGTACAAATCTTTTTTAGTTGTCTTATTTTAGAGGAAAAAAAATGGTGAGAATGGAGGTTGGGGGTGGACCATAAAAACGTCAAATGCGTAAAAGTATTATTCCGATTTTCGTGTTAATATCGTCATAAATTTGTATAATAAATTGACATCGAAAAAGAATAAACCTTTGGCTAAAATTAGCGTTTGCCTTGAAGTCTTTGGGGACTTTTCTCGATTTAGCTATGTCAGTGGCGGATCCACGGGGGGGGAAATTAGGGAAATTTCCCCCCTTGGAACCACAGAACCTGAAAATTTTACTTGTTTGCTATGGTTGACTTTTCAAATATAACCACTTTGTTTACCAAAAAATTGGGATGGATAATTTTTGTTTTATAATTTGTACTGTATTTCTCTCGCAATAATAAGTTTGAACCCCAAATCGAAGAATAAGTTCAATTTCCCCCCCCAAGAATCGTCTCTGGATCCGCCACTGGCTATGTATGTATAGAGATTCATTCATGGTTTCCTGAGGCACCTTAAAATTCCTTTGGAATGATCGGGTCTACATAGCAGCTCTAACATTTCCGAATCAGCGAAATTTCTAATCTTTTTCGGGTTCAAAGTTGGCCCCAAGGAATGCGTCTGTTTTGACGATTCGACTTGGGACTGTTAAACATTAAATGTTAGCTATGTCATTGCTAAATAACACTGATTAGGAGCCTGATTTGGTGGAAGCGAGTCACCCGGGTTATCATTGAGTTTTAAAATGACTCGAACCATTGCGAATCAATGGCGTTATTAAATAAATAAGGGACAAAGTATAAGGGCGTAATCACTTAAATTCCAAAGGGAAATAAATAGTTTTTTTTTCGTAACTTAAAAAATGTAAGAAGTGTTCTCGAATTCTTCTGCATACAAATACGCCAAAAATGTGCTTATTCAGTTGCTAGGGGAAATGCCACAGGTTGGAGTTTGTTAAATATTTGCATAATATGCCATACTTTGCTCATAAATTAATTTTAATTTCGATCGGGCTGGTGGGACACCTCTGGTCGTCGAAAACCAGAAATCTCTCAAAGTTAGTGAAGCTCAAACAAACCGAAAAGGGGGAAACAAAGGCTTAAAACAGCTTTTCGAACTCTATTGATTGGGTCGTAAATTTGTTTGGTTTTGGGGGTTTCAGTCTCGTCTTTTGTCGGGCTCATTTGCATTTTATGCAGGTTGATGTAGAGCTCGTGCCATTCACAAGCATCGATACACACAGGCCCAAGAATTTATGACTTTGGCCTAGCTATCATTCAATAATCTCTGCATAAATAAGCTGACCCAGAGAAATTCTCCATTGTCTAGGAAGCATCTTAAAAGTTGTGTAGAGTCTTCGATATCAATGAACCCTTAATAAGAACTCTCTGCGATTAAAAACGGAACCACGAGAGATATGTTTCGAATAAAAAACCATTACATATTTTCTTGCTGATTACAATTAAAATTAAGAAATAATAAAAAAAGTTAAATATATATTATATATATCTTAGCAAGCTCTCGGTTCTTTTCTTGCCTTTTTCTCTTCTAGATGTTATTAATAATGCCATAAATTAACCAAATTCATTGCTATTGCTAAATCTTTTTACGTACGCACCGCGACACCAAGAAAATATAAACGAAAAATAAAACAAAAATGAAAGGAACGGGGAAAAGTTTTCGAAATGTGTTTTCTTGCAGAAAGAATTCGTGTCTGTCGTCTGCTGGCAGGCGGGATGGAAACAACGACACGAAAATCTTTCAGCAGCAGTTGACACACCCGGACGGACACCCTGGACACCTACGCAACTACTCCGTGAAATCGGGGGATGGGGCCGATGTTATATGCGGTGGGCTGCGGTTCGAAGAACATCTCCCCAACTGAAAATTTAATGAAATTTGTGGCGAGCTTTTCGGCCGCCGTGTCGCCGCTGATGGCTTCTGAAATAATGCAAAACCGAATGTTGGGAAATTCTCCACCTAAAATCGTGGCGCGTTTAGGAGCAGAAAGAACCCAAATAGACGAACGAGAAATACCCTGAACTTTTAAAGCAAGTTAAGCTTTTTAATGAATATTTTTCAAATATTTTTTCAAGCATAGAACCACTAAAATCTTATTTTTATTTACCCTTCAAGAATCCAAAAAGGTAAAATTAAAATATTATGTTGATAAAGGAACTTAAAATTCTTCAACAACCTAAAAATATAAATAATGTTCTATGAAGTTTGATATTTTTAAAAATCACCTATTTAATGCTGACGTTTTACCTTATGATTAAGCAAGATCAACTTACTGACGACAAGAGTATAAATAAAATGTCTTTGTAGCCGCCATGTTTTCTTTGGTGGTGTTTTTTGAAAAAGAATTTCAAAATGCGATGGCATTTTTTTTAGAATTTCATCGCTGTCGCCACAATGAGAGTTGTTAAATATCCCCACACACACACATTTAGAGCTTGTTAGTTGTCTCATTTTGCTACCAAAAAGTCATGCCCCGGATTGCCCCCGACTGTTTATTGGTATCATTTACCACGTAATGGCTTCAATAGAGCGTTTTTATTTTTTGGGTATTGCGACAAATGTGTCACTGAGATGTGTCCCAAAAAAATGTGAAGAATTAACGCGGAAATGTGGATCAATGGACCAAAAAAAAAAAAAACTGTCAGCTGGTTTAAAATACAACAGATGAAAGTCTTTTCTCCAAGCCTGTACAGTGTACACAAACTAACTTTGAAAAGTTCCATGGAAGTGGATTGCAGAGATCTTTTGTACCGAAATCCACTCACTCAATGAATTTCCATTCATTGAAAGTGACTTTGGCATCGAATGGTTTTTGTTGAATCTCGATGATGACGACGATCATCTTCAGATTGCCAGTCACTTGATTTGGCTTTACCGTTTGCGGCAGCATTAATAGCCCGAAAATACACCTTGCCTTGCCAAACAAAATCGAATTCGGAGAGCAAGAGACTCCAACGATCGTGTCTTTTGATGGCCCAGCAATGACACACATTTGTCAAAACGGGTTCACTTCAAAAGATCCCGCGAGAAAGGGAAAGAAATCGTCAGAGAAAGAGAGAGAGGGGAAGTCGTACAATGAAAGAGATGGCTGATGAAGGTGCAAGACGGCACGGCAAGGCGACAAGTGAAAGACAAATGTGCGGGCCATCAATTGTCAAATGCCAAACAGGAGGTGATCGCATTAAAATCTTAAAAGTAACAGCACAAAGAAAAACATTTCTTAATTTGGGGAATTGATAGTCAAGGTATACTCCTAAAACAAGAAAAAATGTGTTTTTAGAAATCAATATTTAGAAATTCTTTGCAAAATCGGAAGAAAGTTTAACGAAAAAACTATGTTTTTTTTCATTCCTATTGTTATTAATTATTTTTTACTGTGCAGAAAAAGCACGCCATCCTGATGGATTTCCCGCTGCTGGTGTGGAAATTGTTGCACAATTGCTGCTCTCGCCATTCATCATCCATCCAAATCCATCGCCTTTCCCCTTCATTTCAGGCATCTTGGCCTTGTTAAGTCACGAGTTTCGGTTTCTTTTTTTTCGGGGAGCCTTCAAGTATTTTGATTGTTCTGTTCGCTTTTTGTTTGCTAGCAAATATTACGCTAGACCCTGAGACGAGGTACCGAGACCAACTACCATCCATTTAGCTTGGAACCTGACAAACCACCCGAAAACATCTGGAGGCAAACAAACGAAGGAGCCTGGCCAACTCATTTGTTTAATCGTTATTGGAACAGTTGGCTTTACTCTGTTCTGTTCCGCTGAGTTAACTCCGCTGCGAATGAACCTGTTCGATCAGCCCACGCTTTCCCTATAGTATATCCACAATGCAGTCTGGTTTTCTTTATTTATCAAGTGTGTTTCCTAGTACGAGTGAGCTGACAACAACTCGATAATGGTTCGGAGAAATTATATGTATTTATTTGAGGTACGAATAAAAATTAAATTTAATTAATTCGCTTGATGTTATTCAATATTGTTCCGATTTATTTTGAAGTCATGACGTAGTATTTGCGATTGCAAGCTCACTTACAAAAATTTTTAAATATTTTGCATATCGACATTTTTCAATTGATTACTCATTATAAAATAGTATTTTAATTGATGAGAATTACAACAAGTTTAAAAAGGGGGAGGAGGGTTGAAGCCATGTAATTAACCTTGGAAAATTATCCAAAGTATATTGATTTGCAATTGATCAAGTTTAAAACCGTACGTGGATCCACATACTATTAAGTTTTATTATGCCCATGCCGTCCGCAATATGTGTTTATTGACAAACAAAAGTCTTTCCCAAGATTTAAAAATACTTTTTTGTATAAAATGTTAACCCTTTTACCTAATTTGTATGGCCTAAAAAAAACTATAGGAAACTTGAGGTTTAAGGAGCCAATGGGCTTAAATTTGACATTGATTTTGTTATTGTTTTTATAAAGCCCTCTGCGAGAATACAAATGTCCACTTTCACTTTCTAGTTACTTTACAAAGTAAACTATAATTTCTTCAATAAAAAACTAGTGCTCTTTCTTGCTTGCAAAATTGTATGTATGGTGATTCGTTCACCACGTTGGTAGTAGGGATCAACAAACTGAAGGACCATTATTACAGAGATTAAAATGTAAAACCGAAAACTATAAACAGAGGTCTTAATAAAGCCATTTCGGTGGGCAACCCACTCCTAAGCCTGTTTGAATTTAAATGTTGAAATTTTCTGGATTTTCCAAAGGTCAATCATGCCACGCTTAAGGAATAAAAAAAAGTATGCGGATGTGTTAAGAATAGTTCATATTAACATAATTTTCTTATTATACCCTTCGTCTAGACAAACTAACGGAATTTTAAATTCAAATTATAGTTTTCAAGATTTGATATCCACCGAAAAAAAATCCCTTTAGGAATTAATTAAACTTCATTTACAGTTTGACACAGGGTAAAAATTATAACATATTTAAAATATAGATTTTTTACGGCTAAAAAAGTGATTGTTTTTATTGCTAATTTTGCATGTATCCATCTTAAATCTTAGACTTTTGCATTGCCTTGCTTTCTTTGCTTACCAAATATGAATATTGATGATTTAGTTAAAATACAATTTACTTATATGAGTACATATTTATTGTATTGTTTTAGAAAATCAAGTATTTTTTGCAAGTGTAGAAGTTGGCAAATGTATATCCTATTGCTTTCTTGACAACAATCGGAGAGTTTATAATCAAGTTTATTGATACATTTTTTTGGCAAATTTGCAAAACTAGAATGCTGCAAAAAAATGACCGGTTATGTATATAAGACCATTGTTTAAATCAAGAATCGGGACACGAGGAGGTGGGCAACTCGTGTATAAAGTGTATTCAAACGCGGATTCTGCTCAGTTGCATTTCAAAATTAAAGGGAAAAGTCCGGCAAATAGTAGCTAATACAATGCTCGCGCTTCGCTCCGTTTTTCTGTGGGTTGTCGCAGCAGTATCTTGTTGCCATGGAGCCAATATACTGGGTCTGTACAGTGCCCTGAGTCCCTCGCACCTGATCATCCACATGTCGACGGCCAAGGCTCTGGCCGAGGCAGGACACAATGTGACTGTGGTGACGAGGCTCAAGCCCAAGGTGATGCACGACAAGATCCACCTGATTGTGGTGCCCCCAACCAGGGAGCACGAGCTGGCCGTGAAGAACGCAGCTTCGGACACGGCTGGCAGCAGGAACTCCCGGCTGAGCACCAAGTTTGACCTGCTAACTCGCACCCGGGTCTTGATCGACTCCCAGGCCGATCTGATCTCCGACCCGAGGTTCCAGCGAGTTTACGAGACCAAGTTCGACCTGATGATATTGGGTTCCTACTTCAACGACTTCCAACTGGGAGTTGCAGCCAAGATGAAGATCCCTGTCATTGTCAACTGGATGATGCCGTCCTCGGCCCTCATTGACAGGTTTGTCGGCAATCCCTCGGAGATCTCGTATGTGCCCAATGAACTCACATATGCAACGGCTCGCATGTCCTTCCTGAAACGCGCTGAAAATGCGTTGAAGCAACTTATTCTCATGTACTCGGTGGTGGCGTTTGACCACAAATTCAACCGAATCTACAATGAAATCTTCCCGGAAAAGGATTTGCCAACCCTCGAGGAGCTGAGAAAGAACATATCGATGGTGTTTGTCGGATCCCATTTAATCAGTGACGGTCCGATTCGACCTCAGGTTCCTGCCATCGTCGAAATCGGAGGCATTCAGGTGAAGGATCAGCCCGATCCGCTGCCCGAGGACATTGATCAGTTCTTGAACAACTCCACCCAGGGAGCCATACTCATCTCATTCGGCTCCTGCATCAAGAGCTCCATTCTGAAGCCAGAGATCATCCAGGCAATCTTTAAAGTGGTCTCCAATCTGAAGCAGAACGTGATCTGGAAGTGGGAGGACTTGGGCAACCTGCCGGGCAATGCCACAAACATTCTGTTCAAGAACTGGCTGCCCCAAGACGATATCCTCTCCCATCCGAACACCAAGCTCTTTATCACCCACGCTGGAAAGGGTGGCGTCACCGAAGCTCAGTACCACGGTGTTCCTATGGTGGCTTTTCCCATTTTCGGGGATCAGCCAATAAATGCCGCTTCCATGGCAGGATTGGGACATGGACTCGCTCTCGATTTGCTCACCACCACTGAAGACAGCTTGAGAAAGGCCGTGAAGGAGGTCTTGGAAAACAGGAAGTACAGTCAAGCGGTTCGCAAGTTCTCGTCCCTCTACAGGGATCGACCTTTGACCCCAAGGCAGTCGGTAGTTTTCTGGACGGAGTATGTCCTGCGGCACCACGGTGCTCCCCACTTGCAGAGTCCTGCGGTCCACTTGAGCTTCATTGAGCTGAATAATCTGGATGTCTATGCCTCGTTTGTGGCCATCCTGGTTTTGTTCTGTCTGGTAATCAGACAGGTTTGGAAATTCCTATACAGCAAGCTGTTGCTGGGCCAGGTAGAAATGCTAAAAGCCAAAAAGAAACAGTAAATTGTATTAATATGTTAAGACAATTTTAGTCTCTAAAACTAGTTTAAATGCCAATAAATTTGTATCTATACTGCCTTCCTCTAATCAGCCATTGTCAATTCTTTTTGTTGGGGAAATGTATTAAAACGGTTTCCAGTTTCCAGTTATTTAAAAAATAAATAACGAAAGTAGTTTTCAAAGAAGAGTTCTTATCGCCCCACCATTAAAATAAATTGAAATGTTTACGCCTAACGACAACGAGCTTGGAAAACCGAAATTTCATTTCCCGCCTGTGGTAATAAATAGAAATCAAGACGAAAACTTTCCCGGTCATGCGTTGTCCGTTAAAAAATTGAAATAAAACTTGGCCTGACAAAAGAGCAGGTAAAAACAGGTAGTAAAAGCAGGCACTCCCGCCACTTTTGTGCAACGGTCGTCAAATGGATATGTCGGCAGGGAGAGCCGCACTTATTAGTCTGTTAGTCTGTCTGCACTTAAATAAATCCTTCAGCAGGCTCGTCAGAAACTGTTTACCATGAAGAGCGTAAGTGGATTTGACAACTGTCAACTGGTTAGTGGTGTCTTCTCCTCTCTGGATCTCGCCGAGGTTGCCTTTCGCATGCTAATGACTTCGGGAACAGGGATAATGGAGGGGACACTTGACATTCCTGTTCCCGTCTCCGCACTTTTCTTGGCTTCCTTCGCCCGGCCGTTCCGTCATAATTTGTATATTCCTCATTAAAATCCCATAACGAATGGCCCGCAGAGAAACAGGATTTGGGGTCGGGAACCAACCTGTTTTTCCCTAGGATAAATGATCCTGCTGAAATGACTTGATCGGCTAATCAGTACCTAATTAATAAAAATATCTATACGTTTCTGTTTATACATTTCAATTTAATCTCTCTTTTGACTCTTGTGAATTGAATGTTTACTCCCTTCTATACTGAATTCCCTTTAGTAATTAAATATATTATAACATTTTGCTAAGCAATCCTTTTCTCAATTCTTTTCCATACCTACTTAAATATGAATACCACAATCAATATTGTTTTCTAAATTTTCAAAATTAAGAATAGTGTACATACACCGACTAACTCAAATGCTAAAGTTCCCAGGTACCTACAATCTCTCTTTAATCTGTAATCTCTCTCTATCTATTAACCATTAACCCCATTCGACCTGCAATTTGACCGGTTTGATCAACTTTGACCCTTCTCACAACACTTTATAGTTCAAAGAATTGGTCACACACACTAACGCTTAATAGACGATCAACAGGTGGCTGGGGTTTGGAAATTTATGAAACTTTTTAATTAGGCCCCGTCTAGAGGGCGACTAATGAATTGACTCGAAGCGCACTGGCCATAAATTTTAATTATGCCCCGAGCAGCCGAACAGAAATATATCTCCCCAAGAGCGGGGGCCTTTTTCGGTTTTGAAGGACCGCCTGAGTGTCACGGAATTAAATATTCAAAAAGAGCCAGAGCCTATGGGACTCATCGAACGACTCGTAAATAAGTATAGTCCCAGAGCTCCGATCACAGTTGATAGTATCGACTTGGATGCGGACCATCGGCCTTCTCCTCCTTTAAATTACCAACTGGTCCCCTCGCCTCAAATCAAGCGTGTCCTGCCTCATGTTCTTCTCGCAGAGTCTAATCTGGCGCGTAGACATTTGTCCTAGCCGATGTCTCGAAGGTGTCAAATTACTCCGACTAGCCTGCCTTCCCCTTCCCTTGGCTCCCAGTTATCGGTGGTGTGTATATGACGACTAGGAGACCAGGAGACTAGGATTGGTTTTGTTTTGGTCGGGGCAAAGTTACTTTGCTGTTGCGTGAGAAACTCTTTGGGATCGCGACAGATGTCGTGGGTAAATCTACAAATGTTTAATCGAATAAGGAAGGGGATAATCAAAACACTTTACTCACTAAACTCCAAACATCTTGGTTTCTTTAAATTTAATAAAAATCTTAAGGAACCTTGCTGTTATTTTGTGTATATCTAATCAATAAATAAATGTAATTTAGTTCTACACGAACATGGACAATAAACACACATTTTAAATATCATAATAAAGAAAAATCATAAAATAAAACAGAAAAATAACCTTTTATTTTATTGTTCCTATGGATAATAAACCTGTTCATCTCTTTCACCCTCTCCCCTTTCACATTGATTTTTTATTACCAAAGGTAAATCAAACAATTTGTCCTAAATAAGTCACGTCTGCATATTTGATTTGGGATCTGCAAATGCAGTCCGCGGTCTGGCTTCCTCTTTGGGATTTCGATTCGAACGGCCTTTTGGTCCATTGTTTAAGCCCTTTCCGTGGCTTTTGCCATCTTTTATTTATGAACTCCGAATCGGCTCCTTGCGGATCCTTTTTTGGAGATGTGGCGCGTTCCTCTTGCGGTTTTGTTTCCCCTTTTTCTCAGTTCTGTTTGTTTCGGCCTTTGTTATCGGGCGTGTTGCATCTGAGGCGCTTGTAGCTTTTAACCAATTGCCTGGCACTTGGCAGCGGACGTTTTAACAGGCCATAAATCTGCTCGGCTTGGCCAAAAGACTAGCGAAGCTGACAGCCCAGCTGAGGCACTTAGCCAGTTTGATGACTCAAGCCGTTCGAACCATCGATCCATCGATCTGGCCAAACACAAATCAAAAGTTCTGAGAGGTTCACTTGTTCCGACTTAGATTTGCTGAATTAGGGTGGCTCAAATATAGAATCGAGTGGGGGAAATATAATACTATTTAATTGACAGAGGTAAGTAAAGATTTTTAATAATATCGGAGCTATAAAAAACAAATGTGGAAGTTTGCAAAAACTAATTATAACTTAAGAGGGATTAAGAGGGAACTTATAAAGTGTCTAAAGTTTCTAAAAATAAAATTGTTGTACTTTTTTTGCCATCACTATTATTTTCTTTTGTGTTACACATGTAAGTATACAGTTAAAATGTTTTAGATTAATATATACAAAAAATTCGAGTCCATTTTACAGCGTTTTGAACTTGAATTAATTCCACCCCTATGCAGATTCATATATATTCATTATGCTGTCATATTCTTTAACGCTTCAGTAAGCTTTTTCTGGGTTTTTGGCCAGGCTTTTCATTTTTGCGCGTGCGCGGCGGCGGCTCCCATAAATTTTTCACACCCCATGATTATCGTGCAGATTGGCCATCGTCTGCCGGCCACTTGGGAGAGCCGCAATTTAATAAATACTTAAACAATCTCCAGTGCCAGTGCCAGTGCTCTACTGGTTTCCCGGTGCAAGATTGTTGCGTGAAGTTGAGTTCAAATGAACTCGGGTCTTGGGCTTGTTCCCGGGTCTCGGGAATATTTATGCTTATGAATAAATTCCTGGCTCATTCGCCGCGTATTTGCGATAAGCCAAACGGAATTACCAACCGCTCTCCGCTTACATTTTGCCCCGTTTCTGCAGTGGAGCGCCGTTTGGGTTTTCTTCATTTGTTTTATCGACGTCTCGCTTGGCAGCCTTTGGGCATTTATCAGCGAAGACCCCCTTCCATTCCAACCGATCGGGGGCCCCTCGCTTTCCCGTGGCACTTCGACATTTAAATGGATTTCTTTTCAAAGTTTCTCGGGCTCCGTTGTGGTCCTCAATTGATTTCCAATTTGTTATCACATTTATTTTGGGCTCCAGGAAACTTCAGATTTGCTGATCAGTATATACATAAGTCTCTAGAGTCAAGTGAAGTCATCAAATTATTAAAGGACTGACGAAGGAAGTTGAAAAAACGAGAACAAAGAGAAAAACAATAAGTATAAATACCATTTGATCAAAAGCATAGATTATACAAATTTCAAGGAATTACCCGGCTTAGTTTATGGTGTATGTGTAAGCTGTTTTTCAAAAATCAAATAAGAAATTCTATAAAAAACAAATCCCTTACTGGATTCACAAATAAGAACAATCTAATACAAAAATTAATATTTATTTACTTAAAACCTATAGTATCTCCAAATCACGATATCATCGAATGAACATCATTAAATTTCTAATTAAATTTATTGATATTGATATTATACTATTACTATGGCTTGAAATTTATTCAGAAATGCTTTCATTCTGTTCTTTACCCAAATGCCGGTTTCATGCAACAAATTTATTGTACAGGTAGCCATTAGAACTGAATACATTATTTAATTGAATCATTAATTCGAATTGTTGTGGCTTTAAACAGAATCGATTTCAGGTAAGAAATACATTTGCATATCTCACAAAAGAAAAGAATGAGAATATGTTTTAACTTTGTCGCTTGGTGTTATTGTTTTTTTTTAGCTTTTATGTCCCCTCATTTGGTTACTATTCTCGTGTGTACACTCAAATTAAAATAACTTAAAATTAAAGCAAAATGCCCGCAGTACTTTATTTAATGGTTGCTTAATTAAAACCGCATATGATGATCCGAGTCCTAGACTGACATGAACTGTCCGTGTCCAAGTAGGCAGCTGTCGTCCGGCGTCATAAGAAGACAACCAAGAACAGGAACCTTCGCATATCCAAAACCCCCCCTTTGGAACCCTGCCCCTGCCATTCATTATCTCCGTCTGTCTCCGGGTCGGGGAGCCATTGAAACCCTTTATTTGTTCGCTGCTCTTAAGCAAATTACAGACTTGCCTCTACCGCAGGTCTCCTGAGCAGGTTGTTCATTCCATTCATTGGGCTACCTGCAATGATAATGCCACTGGCGATGGCATTATACGAGTATGGCTCGCATGCAATGGACTGGCTGGAAAGCGATTGTCCAGCATTTGCATAAGTCAATGCTATTTCTGGATCGGATCTTGGACCCTGGCTTTCTCTGCTCCAACACAATCGGTTATGCCACACGCATTCCACCATTTCAAATTGTTTTTAGTGAGCTAACCTTCTTCCAGCTTTACGCAGGATCGAACGAGTTTAGTTTGGGATTGAGGTCTTTTAGATGTTGTTGGAATTTTATATTATTTTTTATTAAAAGGTAAATCTGATGGGTCAACTATGGCCAGTTGAGCAAAGGAAAAAGGTTGAAAAGCTTAAAAGACAAGTAAAAGACTTCCAACTTTA